TGAAAAAATTTGAAGGAAAAAAAACTACGAATTTTTAAGAAAATGCTTTTTTCGTGAGAAGGACTCTTAAACGCTGACAAACGTTAACAAATAGCGAAAACTATAATTTCTAAATGTTTGCTTTGCTCGAAATCGCGCGCATTTACAAGGCCCTAAAGCGTTTTGCTGACTTGCAAGGACCCATCTGTTATAACGATGCCCAAAATAAAGAGATGAATCTCATAGTTTATTAGATATAATCCGTGTAAAGTTTGCTTATCATTTTCGCATTAATTATGACCTAAATTTGGAAACCGCTGAATTTCTCGAATTGGGTCTTTGCGATTTTGATGAAACTCTGTTCAGTGCAAGGCACTAATGCGCACTATATGTAGCCGAGAGATTTTCACGAAAAACTGCCGGCAACAGCAGATTTTCGACTCAGACCTCAAAGGGGCGTGGCATTATAACCACGTGACATTTACTCCGATCGCAAAAAATTTTATGTTATATTGTAGATTGATCTATATATTATCCATTCTATGTGTTAGACTTACAATAAAAGTAAAGGTGGGGATACCAGAGAGCTTCAAAGTAGGATGGTACCCCCCCAAAAAAACTGGGTCGAGTCACCTTAAAGAAACGATCTAACTCAGAATAACTTGGCCTTTTTCCCCTCTGGTAAAAATAAAAGCTTTTCAGCAATACAGTTGGGAAAATGACGCTTAATATAAAAGGGACCTGAAACCTCCTGTACTTTCTATTTGAAAGGCAAAGGGATAAATATATGATCGAGTATAAGTTCATGAGATTTTAGTTTGCTTTGGAATAATTAACAGATGACGGGAACTCTGAAATACTACTTAATATCAAAGTCAGAAAGAGGGTAAAAAAGCTAAGTGGTCTAGGACGAATAACGAATGACTTGATAAATAGAGGGCCGAGTTTTCCAAATTTGCGATGGTCAGAAAGATCTGTGTACAGGAAAGGGTCTTAAAAAGTTTACTAGATTTTGTTAACCATGGTGCATGCAATAAAAAAAGAAGACTAACTAAAGAGGAGAGAGATCAGAATTTTATCAATAAGTCTTTCATACTGAATGCACCAAGAGTGGCGAAAAAATTTACCGATATAACAACAGCAACAACAACACAATAATAATGATAATAATAATAAGAATAACAATACAGCCTATTTGTTGAGAAAGACGAAAACTAGTAGTTTATACTGTTGAGAATATATATTACAATACTTGTAATTAATTCATATCAATAAAGTTCCCGTGAAAAAGAACAAATGTTTTGAAGAATGGCAAAAATATACCATTTAATCAGGTTTTTTTTTTAAATTTGTCGAACACAGAAATTAAACTGTCTAATAAGATCACTCCACTTGAAAGTTTCAGACTGGGAGAGAAAGAGCTGGTTAAGAGCGAGTCCAAAAAAGTGATTATAGTAACCAACGATGTTCAAAAGGATAACAGCAAATAAAAATAAAAAAACCTACAAAATTGTAATCTTTCCACGATTCTTAAACTAAAATGTGTTTTCTCCTACACATTGTTTTTCCTGTTCGGTGGTTACGAGCTCTCTTTCATAATCATGAAAGTTCCCCTACATTCTGTTTCAAGGGAGGGAGGGAGGGAGGAAAAGTATGCTCTTGTCATTTAGAAACTTTTAACCGCAAAGAAAAACACAGTATATGCACACTACGTACACACTTAAGTTTATTTTTTTTGTCCACAATGTAAACTTCTGGGTCCAACTGAGTAAATGTGCCAGCCAATAAAGTCTAATTTTCTTACTACCTACAGTAAGCAAAAGCTATTCGAGTCAGGCAGTGTAAGGAGGCTAATTACTGTTGCGTTTTATCCAAAAACCCATTTTACCTCTGCGTTACGTATACTTGTATAAGGAAAACAGAAAAAAATAATTGTTTATTTACTACGTATTAAACTGCGCGCAATGATGAATTTCTTTTTTTACTATTAAACCGAAGAAAGTGGAACAAATAACGACTCAGGTTTTATTAGTTACCTCAGATGAGTTTGATTAAAACGAACTATTAAGTTAATAAAGCACAAGTATATTGTTTTCTGCATGATCAATTGTGACTGATTAAACTTTGACACACAAGAGAGTATGATTTGTTAACTAACTACCTACTGTGTCTTTGTTTTAACACCCTAGCTAGTAAGCTTTTTTATGGATAATACGTTTCTTCTCTTAACTCCTCAGACTCGTCGTAAATCGTAGTTTATCTAAAGATGTGCCTATGTTTTGCTTGGGTCCAGCAAAAACGTTGGATTGGTCTCCGACCTGATAGTTGGCTTTTCCTCTAAACCATTGTTAAACTCTTTCTTAGCGATTCATTGCAACAAGCTGCCGTTTCTACTTTAATATTGCGTCAGTAGTTTCAATATCTTCCTTTTTGACTGTCGAACTCCAACACTAAGAACGCTCAACCTATCGCGTTTCGCTTAAAATGAAAATGAATTCAAATTAATTATGTGATGAGGACGTCATATTCAAATTCTTAATTCCAGGCTCTGTTAAAAAGACACAGTTTTAATTTCAAGCAAGTGAATATTTCAGATGTTATGGGGGCGACTTGGGGGACTTGTTTATACTGTTGTCGCAGACTCAACAGTTCGCACTTTCATCCAATTTTCATCGGAGGAAAAATAGTGGAACACTGAGAACTCTTGGGGACTGTTCAGTTAGTCTCGAGAATTTCAGTCCCATCCAAAAAAAAAAAAGACACCTGCAGGACTCTTCAAAAGTTCTATGCAAAAACAGAAACTTAAGACTTAAAGTAATGAAACAGAAACTAAAAGTACTGTTAATGCAATGACAGAAACTAGAGGTTTGTATCCGACACTTGTCGCTAACTGCATCGTTAACGCTTTTTTGTCTTACACCGCCTCACTGGCGAGGCCTTTAAAAACACTGCTCCTTAGTCTGACGGTTTCGGATCTTGGGGTTGCCCTACTTGTTCAACCACTCTACATTGCACTGCTCGTGGCGTTCATAACTGAACCAAACACTAGCAATAGTACTCATATTACATCCCTACTTTTCGTGTTCGTGGCCATCGCTAATTTATTAGGTTGCGCTTCGTTCTTTGGTGTTGCTGCTCTAGCCGTTGACAGATTCTTAGCTATTCATCTTCATCTCAGATACCAGGAACTTGTTACGCACAAGCGTGTTGTTGTTGCCGTGATCTTAATATGGGTGTTCAGTGCAGCTACTTTCTTCCTGTTTTCGATTTCGATAAACGTTCGTTTGATTTTTTCCACAACTACTGGAGCTTTAAGTTTTGCAACTGCAGGATTGCTTTATTGCAAGATATATACAGCCGTACGACACCACACAAATCAGATTAACGCGCTGCAAGTACAACAAGTAGCACAGAATGGAGAAATGGCAATTGCAGCGAGACAGAGAAAAACGGCAGTTGCTACATTCTTCGTGTATGTCGTGTTTTTAGCGTGTTATTTGCCACTGTCCAGTATTTTTATTACCTCTATGTTTAATCACTATGAATCTATGTCATAGTGGCATTTGTTATGTTACTCTTTGACACTGGCGTTTCTCAGTTCATCCCTGAATCCTCTGATCTACTGCTGGAAAATGAGACATGTTCGCTGCGCTGTTATGGACATACTTCGAAATACCATTTCACGATGCCTTCACTAACGGGGAAATGAGAACGCCAAACAGCTGTCTACGTAAACCGAGGGAAATGTATTTACATTCAGCGGAGCTAAACGTAGTGGCAGTGACAGAGAATGTAAATACTTTCCTATTGGTATTAACGCACGTGAGCCGCTATGGCGTTAATTGACTCTATTGTTGTAAGGTATATAAGGTTTTGACAGTTGTAATGTATTCATCTCAGCTCTCGAACTATCAAATTTTATTTTTATATTTTACTTTATTCATCTATCGATTGATTTTTTACCTTTAACCCCCAGAGGTTGTGCGACCGCATCGGTTGGGGAATACGTTCCCAATTTTTTCCCATTGGGTTTTTTGGGTTTTCGTATCAGGCGGCGCAAGTGAATAGTTTAGCCTGAGTGGCTTTATTTAGGAATATTTGTATACCATTCTTTAGTTATGATGTTGAACTTTGTATGTTATTTGGACGGCATTAAACACTCAGGCTCCACAGTTCGAGCTGCACACCCATTCCCGTCTCTTAGTCGTGAATATAAATAGGAACGGCTGCAGAGTGGCCCAGAAATCATCCCGAGTCATCCTGGAAAAATATTTTGACACGCCGACTGGTCGAGCGTGGCATCTCTTATTTCTTTACTGAGTATTATCCAGTCCAGTTTCACCTTTGAAGGTGTCCATGTATGTAGTTCTTGGTCTACCTCGATTTGTATGACAACGTTGGGGTTCCAAAAGGCAGCACTTTTGAAGTAGTATCTTCATTGTAACGAGTGCAATGGCCAGACGGCCAGAACATCACGTTAGGATTTCAAAATTTTTCCCTCTGAAAGTATGATCTCGTATGATGTTGGCGCCCTATTTACCAGTGTCCCTATGGATAAAGCGGTTCAACATATAAAGAATCGCCTTGAGAACGACGAGAAACTGCAAAATCGTACCCTTGCTCGAGTTCTGCCTCACGACCATCTATTTTATGTACAAGAGAAATTACTACTGACAAAGAGAAGGCGCGGCCAGTAGGTCTCCAGTATCTGCAGTGGTTGCCAACCTTTACATGGAAGGCTTTGAGCAAGAGTGTCTTTCTTCCTACCCTGGTTCCACTCCCAGGGTTTGGCGCCAAAATGTGAATGATACGTTTGTTATCATTCACACAGCTGAGATTGAACGTTTCGCTAGTCACATTAATCAAGTGGATCTATGCATCGAGCTCACTTAAGAAACTGAAAAAGAGAATAAGTTACCCTTTCAAATGCCGCAAGGCTGAAAAATCTTCACTGGCTACATTCTACATTTATTTGGTTTACTTAGCTTGCTATTTGCCAATAGCTTGTGTTGTTCTTGCCAAGGTCAATGGTAAAACTGTCTTGAATTTCACATCGGTGACTCTTGTGTATCTTAATTCATCCCTCAATCCCTTGATCTACTGCTGGAAGATGAGACACATTCGACAAACTGTTATGAATATACTTCGAACTATTTTTGCGATTGGTCCGCATTAAAGAAAGGATCTAACTCAGAATAACTTGGCCTTTTTTCCCTCTGGTGAAAATAAAAGCTTTTCAGCAATACAGCTGGGAAAATGACACTAAATATAAAAGGGACCTGAAACCCCTTGTGCTTTCTATTTGAAAGGCAAAGGGATAAATATATGATCGAGTATAAGTTCATGAGATTTTAGTTTGCTTTGGAATAATTAACAGATGACGGGAACTGTGAAATACCCAATATCAAAGTCAGAAAGAGGGTAAGTGGTCTAGGACGAATGACGAGTGACTTGATAAATAGAGGGCCGAGTTTTCCAAATTTGGGATGGTCAGAAAGATCTGTGTACAGGAAAGGGTCTTAAAAAGTTTACTAGATTTTGTTAACCATGGTGCATAACGGATTGGTTGAGGGCCATACATATGTCAGAGCGATCAGAATTTTATCAATAAGTCTTACAAACTGAATGCATCAAGAGTGGCGAAAAGATTTACTGATATAACAACAGCAACAACAACACAATAATAATGATAATAATAATAACAATAACAATGATAAGAAGAACAACACAGCCTATTTGTTGAGAAAGACGAAAACTAGTAGTTTATACTATTGAGAATATATATTACAATACTTGTAATTAATTCATATCAATAAAGTTCATGTGAAAAAGAACAAATGTTTTGAAGAATGGAAAAAATATACCATTTAATCAGGTTTTTTTAAATTTGTAGAGTCCAGAAATTAAACTGTCTAATAAGATCACTCCATTTGAAAGTTTCAGACTGGGAGAGAAAGAGCTCTCCTGATCGTGAAAGCGCAACCGATTGGAACACATGATCGATAGCTCGCTAACTGGCATCATAATACTTTAAAATACCATAATACAGAACCAGAAACCAGGCGTCAATAATATAGCTCCAATATGAAGCAAAGAGCTTCTTGCAACGAGATTAGAAACTTAGAACCATAATTTTTGACGATACAATGAAGTATTTAGGCCCAGGGTTCAACCTATTTTAAGTACTGGTACAGGTTCCTCATCAGTCCCATTTGAGCGTCTTGCAAGCAGCTCCCGGAACGTGCATAAGAATGATTTACAATAATGTTGAAACTTTTTACAAGACCGTGTTCAATGCTTCCAAAGACATAAAAAAGATGATCGCTTAATGTAAAACGGTGACGATGTCGCTTATGTGCTCCGGCAGAGTAAAAAAGCGATAGTTACTCCGTTTATGAGACTCATCCTTTTTATATAGAGAAAGGTGTAAAAATGACGTAAATATCAGCTCTTGAAATGGGTATCGTCTAAATATTATGAAGGTAACATCTCCAAACTGGCAGGAGAATTACCTTATTTACCCAGGCTGAAAGAGGGGTTGGTTAAGAGCGAGTCCAAAAAAGTAATTATAGTAACCAACGATGTACAAAAGAACAACAGCATTAACAACGTTTAATGCTCTTAACCCATAACCCCTTAGATAAAAGCAAGTAACTAGACCAGAATTATTGTGGGGAAAAGGGGTAAGGGATGAAGTACTCCAAATATGGACAGCAGGTCACTTTTTCTCTACATATTGGTGTAACAGTCCGAAATCTACAAGGGGAGAGGTGATAATCCTCTGTAGGGGTGATAATCCCCCAGGATTGTTAGAGAGGATAATCCTCTGTAGGGGATGATAATCCCCCAGGTTAGAGAGAGGTGATAATTCTCTCTAGGGGTTGATAATCCCCCAAGGTTGTGAGTAGAGGTGATAATCCCCCTTGGGTACTGGAGAGGTGGAAGGACCTCTCTAGATGTCTAATTCCCCGGTTTAAGGAGTAAGAAGAGTCTATGGGGCAAAGTGTTACCTGTATGCGAGCACTTCATTCCGAACCCATGTTTATTAATTGCCAACAACTCTCTCGATACAGATATCATCACTAATTTAAGTTAGAATTGCGTGCCTGCTGCCCGTCAGGAAAAAACCCTCAATTATTTTCGAGGGAAACCTGAACCCTCCCGAAAGCTTAATAATCAAAATAAGGTCCAAAGTAACTAGGTGCACAAGCATGTTGGCATGTCTGGTAGAATGATTCCCCTCAGTAGAAACCTCACCTCTTTTCTGACATATCTCCTTGATAATTGCCAATTTATTCAAAGTGTAAACAACAAAGATCAGTAGTTCTTATGACTGCAAAACCTATAAGGAGCGTCTTAAATTTTAAGCAAGAGAAAAGACCTCATATATAAAACCTTAAGAAAACCAGCAGAGAGAATCAAGCAGTGATAAGGGAGGGTGGGATGGGATTTTGTTCCACGAAGAGAAGAATATGAAGTGCTATTTTGCTGAGCTAGGCGCGAAAATATAGGCATCAACTGTTCATGTGATAGCTGTCATCTAATTGGCTGAGCGAAACAATTAGTGTGACTTGCAGGAAGTAACCCCTGAAAGGAAGTGAGCTGGTTCCATTACTTGTAAAGGCAGGTTTATGGCTATCTTTAATTTTTTTCTGTTGTATAAATTAGCTTCAAATAAATAAAAATACGAAACTGTAATCTTTCCACGATTCTTAAATTAAAATGTGTTTTCTCCGACACATTGTTTTCCCTGTTCGGTGGTTACGAGCGCACTTTCATAATCGTGAAAGTTCCGCCACAATTTCTGTTTCAAGGGAGGGAGAGAGAAGCAGTATGCTCTTGTCATTTAGCAACTTTTAACCGCAAAGAAAAACACAATACACACACACTTAAGTTTATTTTTTTTGGTCCACAATGTAAACTTCTGGGTCCACCTGAGTAAATGTGACTTTGACACACATGACAGCATGATTTGTTAACTAACTACCTATTAACATCCTAGCTGGTAAGTTTTTTTATGGATAATAAGTTTCTTCTCTCAACTTCTCAGACTCGTCGTAAATCGTTGTTTATCAAAAGATGTGTCTATTTTTTGCTTGGGTCCAGCAAATACGTTGGATTGGTCTCCGACCTGATAGTTGGCTTTTCCTCTAAACCATTGTTAAACTCTTTCTTAGCGATTCATTGCAACCAGCTGTCGTTTCTACTTTAATGTTGCGTCAGTTGTTTCAATATCTTCCTTTTTGACTGACGATTTCCAACACTTACAAAGCTCGACCTGTCGTGTTTCGCTTAAAATGAAAATATATTCAATACTTGTGTGATGAGGACGTCATATTCAAATTCTAAATTCCGGGCTCTGTTAAGACACATTTTTATTTTCAAACAAATGAATATGTCGGATGCTTTGAGCACAACTTGGGGACTTGTTGATATTGTTGTCGCTGAAGACTCAACAGTGCTCACTTTGACACTTTAATCCAACTTGATTGCCATCGGAGGAAGAATAGTGGAACACTTAGAACTCTTAGGACTGTTCACCAGGGGGTCAGTCTCGAGAATTTCAGTCTCAACCAAAAACTGAGAAAACACTCACATAACCCTTCAAAAGTTCTCTACAAAAACAAAAACTCACTGCACTTAACGTTCTTTACAATGACGGAGGCTGAAGGTTTGTATCCGACACTTGTCGCTAACTCCGTCTTCAATGCTTTCTTGTCTTACACCGCCACCGTGTTGAACATTATAACAATACAAGCACTCAGAAAAGCTTCGTCGCTGGCAAGGCCTTTAAAAACACTGCTCCTTAGTCTGGCTGCTTCGGATCTTGGTGTTGGCTTTCTTGTTCAACCACTTTATATTGCAGTACTTGTGACGCTCATAACTGAACCAAACACTGGCAATGGGTCTCATGTTATATCCTCCTTAATAATAGCGTTCGTCGCCATCTCGAATTTATTAGGTTCCGTTTCGTTCTTCGGTGTTTTCGCTTTAACCGTCGACAGATTCTTGGCTATTCATCTTCATCTCAGATACCAGGCACTTGTCACTCACAAGCGTGTTGTTGCTGTGGTGATATTGATATGGGTGTTTAGTGCAGCTTATTTCTTCCTGTTTTTCATTTCGATAAACGTTCGTGTCATTTTTTCCGCAACTACTGGAGCTTTAAGTTTTGCAACTACAGGATTGCTTTATTGTAAGATATATGCAGCCGTAAGACAACACAGAAATCAAATAAACGCCCTGCAAGTACAGCAAGTAGTGCAAAATGGAGATATGGCAAACGCAGCACGGCAGAGAAAAACTGCAGTTGCTACATTCTACGTTTATATTGTGTTTTTAGTTTGCTATTTGCCATTTTGGTTTGCTTTCCCTGGTATAATTCTATACTATGAATCTGTCTTATGGAAGCACTTATTGTGTTACTCTTTGACACTGGCGTTTCTCAATTCATCCCTGAATCCTCTTATCTACTGCTGGAAAATGAGACGCGTTCGCCGCGCTGTTATGGACATACTTCGAAATAGTCTTTCACGACGTCTTCACTAATGGGAAGCGGATGCATAAAGCACTTACACACTTAAGCTGGGAATCACCCCGCGTCATCCCGACAAAATCTTTCCACACGGCCTGATCGAGCATGGCATCTCTTGTTTCTTTAGTATTATCCAGTCCAGTGTCAGCCTTGGTGGTGTCAATGTATGTAGTTCTTGGTCTACCTCCATTTTGGTAGCCTGCGAACACAGACGTATTTCCGGTTGTCGCTTTTCTCTACCCGTTTTGATGATGTGCGCAACGAATGATTTATGGACTTTGTATTGTTCTTTAACCTCAAATATAGGTATGGAAATCCAATTCAAAGACACTTACCGCAGCGAGAGGCTTTATCGTTGTCTCCCTTGTGTGAAAATAATAATAATATAATAATAATAGTAATAATAATACTATTATCATCATGATTATTAAACATATATTGCGCATGTACCATACAAATATATTCATAAGCGCATTGAAAACAAATAAGATGTGTTAGTTAGAACAAGATAAGAATAACATAAAAGAGCACTTTGTGAGAGCTCTTTTAGAAAATGTAAGAATCTGAATGTTTCTGATCTCCACCCTAAAATTGTTCCAAAGCTTGGGAGCTGCTGACTGAAACACTCGGTCACCACCCGTTGCTAAGTAGGCACCGTTACTTGGCTGATACTATTCTGACCTTCTCGGGAGACCCGGATCAGGTAACTTAGCAAAGGGAAGAGCGTCTGCCTGTCAAAAGACGTCAACAGTTCTTTAAAGGAACAGTCTATACAACGACAGAACCTAAAGACGCCTTTTCAGCATCCTACAGAATGGTAGGAACTGGAGACTTTTATTCAACGCTCGTCGCCAACTGCTTCTTCAACGCTTTCTTGCTTTTCACAGCCTTGGTTTTAAACATCATAACAATACAAACCCTAAGAAAAATATCATCGTTTCCAAAACCTTTAAAAACATTACTCCTAAGTCTCGCTGTTTCTGATCTTGGTGTTGGTTTGCTTGTCCATCCTCTCTATATTTTGCTTCTCGTAATGAACATAGAACAGAACACTAACAATTGAATTTATATTATGGTATACAAAGCATACTTTATTTCTAGTCATTTATTGTGTGCTGCTTCATTCTTAGGCATTATTGCTTTAAATGTCGACAGATTCTTAGCTATTCATCTTCATCTCAGATACCAGGAATTAGTGACTGACAAGCGTGTTGTTGCTGTAGTAATTTCAGTTTGGGTGTGGTGTTCATGTATTTCCTTGTTTGTGTTGAACAGGGTTTTAGAAAACGTTCTGGCCATGATAACTGTAACTATTGGGGCAGTTTGTCTCACTACAACGGGATTAATTTACTGCAAGATATACTCAATCGTACGTCACCACACAAATCAGATTCACGCCCTGCAATTGCAACCCGTAGGACAGAATCAGAATGGAGAATTGGCAAATGCTGCAAGACTGAAAAAAAAACTACACTTGCTACATTTTACGTGTACGTGGTGTTTGTGGTTTGTTTTTTGCCCTTCATATGCGTTAACGCAGCTTATCAAATTTATGGTGAGTCCAAGTTGTGGTTGCATCTTTTTTATTATTCGAGGACACTTGTGTTTCTTAATTCATCTCTCAATCCTTTGGTCTACTGCTGGAAGATGCGAAACATTCGACAAGCTGTGATCAGTGTACTTCGCAATATCTTTCAAGGTCAGTAAAGCTCCATTCGAACCGTTTCGCCGATGAGACTATTAGTTACCCTTTGTGCCCCACAAAAAAAAAAAATGGAAATTTCATATTACTAACGTGAATTTTTATTAACTAACAGATGAATAATGAATAATGATTCAGAGGTAACACATTCACGTAGCGGTTCTTCGTCAACCATTCCTAGTCGAGTTGGAATTTAGAAATGAGTACTCCGCGAAAAACCTCTCGGGGCAAAGGAAAGAACAACGTCAAACTCAAACCACATTTGGGTAACTAACAAGCTAATATCTTCGAGCTGACACTAAATTAAAGTAATATAGAAATATCTAAATATACATTAAATGCATTATAAGAAATGATAATAAAATAATATTAATAATAATAAGCACGTAAAAAAAAAAGAAAAGAAAAGAAAAGAAAATATTATTTACAATTCATAATTTTAAGTTTAAGTATGTCAGGCAAAAAGAATCTACATCATGGTAACATCCTGTAATTTGGTCTTAAAGTCTGCAAAAAACTGGTACGAAAAACGTCCGGCAGTGCATTTCACTGCTTAGCTGAAAAGTAAGAAAAGGAGTTAAGACAATAGGTAGTTGTTTTAGGTTTACTTAGTGAAAAAATGTAGTTGCCACGAAGATCATAGGAAGAGGACCGTAGTGAAAACATATTCTTCATATAAGTAGGAAAATGAGTGAAAAACAAACTCTTATATAACAGAATGAGGAAATTTTGAATGCGTTTGTTACACAACGAAGTAGAGCTGACTTTTGAGAGAAGAGTGTTGTATGGAGACGAGTAATCTCCAAGTATAAATCTAAGTATTCTTTTATGGCGCGTCATTTCAATCATCACCGAAAATAAACCGCATGCTCATCACAAGACTCATTTTCATACAAATGAAAGTTTTCAACGTACGACCAGTTTATAGCCTCACCATCGAAGTTTTCACTGAAGTATGCACTTGTTCCAAAGTTATCAATGCTTTCAAGCGATCCGATAGAATTCGTGGACCGCCCCGTTCCGGAAAAGCTCGACAACTCTGCATCAATCTTTCCTAAGCTTTCTTCACAAAATAGAACATGGTGCTGGACCACATTAGTCTGTGGGGCACGAGGTGCTGTGACACGCAGCAATTCTTATCCCCAGTTTCCACGATCTCCGCTAGTAACGCCTGGGACCATGATTCCCCTTTTGGCGCGCACACTAGCGATACTAACTACCTACTGTGCCGGTCTATGTTTTAAAAGCTTAGCTAGTAAATTTGTTTTTATGGGGAACAAGTTCCTTCTCTCAACTCAAAAGACTCGTCGTAAAGTCCTAGTTACTCAAAACATGTGTGTATGTATCGCTTGAGTCCAGCAAACATGTAGGACTGGTCTCAGACGTAATAGTCCACATTTCCTCCAAACCATCGCTAAACTCTTTTCTATTTGACTTTGTGTTTACGATTCACCGCAAACCAGCTGCCATTTCTACTTTGATATTGCGTCAATAGTTTCGAATAACTTACTTCCATTTGACTGACGAACTTTATCCAACCAGTAAAACTAGCCAACAAAACGAAAAAACCTGCACTAGCCACTATAGCAAAATGTTCATGCTGATGACAGTTTGATGAATGGTACATGATGATGTTAAACTTATCATTTGCAATTGATTAAACTTTACCACAGGGTGCTGTGTCTTAAACCGCCTCACACTCTTTAGATCGCGAGTGACTATTTAGTTTATCAAAAATATTTACAGGTCCGTTGCCTGATAGGTTTACGACGTAAAAGTCCGTTTTTCCCTCAAGTCATCGCTCAACTTTGTTTGTTTGACTGTATATTTTTGATTCATTGAAAACCTACCACCGATCCTAACTTAATATTGCGTCAATTACTGTAGTTTCATTTAACTTTCTTCCTTTTTGGCTGACGAACTACAACACTTACAAAGTTCGACCTATCGCGTTTCGCTTAAAAGAAAAAAAAAATATAATTACTGTGTGATGATGACGCCACATTTAAATTTTAAATTCCATGTTCACACACTGGGTACAGTTTTAATTTCAATTACGATCAGTTTGTATATTATAAGTACGAGTTAGGGACTATTTTACTATTGTCGCGGAAGACTCAACAGTACTCAGTTGGAAATCAATTGCCTTCGGAGGTGGAAGAGAATCTCTGGAGAATATTCGGTAAGTCTCGCAAAGAATTATTTCCAGCATCAGTCTCTTCTGGCAGAGTTCCTCAAAAGTTCTACCCAGCTGCTAAAACTTAAGACTGTATAAAACGTTCCATTCAATGGGGGAAGCTGAAGGTCATTCTCATTCGAAAACGGATGATTCCTCCAAAGCAATGAAGTTCCTCTCACAGATTTTACTGAAACTTAACGGACATCGATCGTAGCACTTATTGGAGGAAAAACAGGAGGAAAAAGCCCCCGTAAACGATTTTGGAAGAAACGTTCCTAGTGCTGAGAAATACAGCTGCAAGTAAAGTAGCTAATGGCGTCATTTTGTTGCTATGACAACTCCGATGTCATTGTAATCCTGATCATAACAAATTTTTAACTTTCAACACTTACAAAGCTCGGCCATTCGCGTTTCGTTTAAAATGAAAATGAATCCAGATTTTGGTGTAGTGATGTTGTCATTTTCAAATTCTTTTTATTTCAACTAAGTGGATATTTCGGATGTTATGAGCATGGGATACTGGGAACTTCTTGCGATTGTAAACTTTATTGACTCACTAATTTCAGTCTCATCCATAAAAGAAAACACTCGCAGAGCTCTTCAAAAGTTATACAGCTACAGACTGTGGCGTACCTGTACACGTAGGCAGGCAACATACGTTGGCTGGTACCGTCGGAGTCGCGCTATTCCGTTCACCAAAAATATTTCTTAATGACTGTGTGTCAGGAATGGTGTATTTAACTATTAAAAGGACAAAAAACATTGTAGTTAATTTTTTTTGTGACTTCTGAGCAACGGAGGAGACGATTTTTAAACAAACACAGCTCTTAAAGGTCACTCAAGTCAAGTCAACTTTATTCAGGCAGGGCAGCCCTATCAGCCATTGGCCGGTATCAAAAAGGGGCCCCCCTACAGTCGTCGTGGAGGACTATATCGGGTTTTTATTGTCGGCGGGTCTAAGCTTTTTGCCATAGATTTTTGCAAAAAATACTACATAATAAATGAATAAATAAATAAATAAATAAATAAATAACAAAAAACCTCGCCCAAAATAAAAAAAATGAAATAGAAGAATCTATGTTTCCGCGACTCCTAAAAACACCTGTTTGGGCTCAATAAATTTTGATTGGACTTGATGTCAATATATTTGCATAATGATGCCTTTAATTAGTTTCTTTGTCCCAGTTAGTTTGCAACAGTTCTTGTCAGCCACTTTTTAGCCAGAATACTTAATAGGTTCTTTCTATTCTTTATATCATTATCACTTTTTTCTGGCATTTATCATATCCTCAAAAACAAAACTCCAATTGCGTCATTATGCCTTACCTTAACTGAGCTTATTAATTGTTAAGCTCGATCTATCATTCTTATCAAAAGAAAATTTTATTCAAAATTGAATGTTTTATTATGTGGCTACATTAACTTGTTTGAAATTTTTTGTTAAGGGAATTCGTGGTGTTCAAACGTCTTGATATTTAGCACTGTCTAGTTAGTGGACAATTTCAAGATTACCAAAGTACGGAAGAGGACAAGCTAGGTCGCTCAGCCATGCGATAATTTAAGGAAGAATGTAAACCACATTCTGAACTATTGGAGACCGATCAGGTAACTTACCAAAGGCAAGAGCGTCTGCCTGTCAAAAGACGTCAACAGTTCTTTAAAGGAACAGTCTATATAATGACAGAAGAAGCTAAAGACGCGTTTTCAACATCCTACAGAATGGCAGAAACTGGAGGCTTTTATTCAACGCTCGTCGCCAACTGCTTCTTCAACGCGTTCTTGCTTTTCACAGCCTTGGTTTTAAACATCATAACGATACAAGCCCTAAGAAAAATTTCATCGTTTCCAAAGCCTTTAAAAACATTACTCCTAAGTGTCGCTATTTCTGATCTTGGTGTTGGTTTGCTTGTCCAGCCTCTCTATATTGCAGGTGTTATAATGACAATAGATCAGAGCACTAACAAAAGACTCCATTATGCGTTATACACAGCGCAGCGCCTTTTTGGCTATTTACTGGGTACTGCTTCATTCTTGGGCATCATTGCTTTAACTGTCGACAGATTCTTAGCTATTCATCTTCATCTCAGATACAAGGAATTTGTGACTCACTAGCGTGTTGTTGCTGTAGTAATTTCATTTTGGGTCCTCTGTTCATGTATTTCCTTATTTGCGTTGAACAGGATTTTAGAAAAAGTTCTGACCATTATAACTGCAACTATTGGGGCAGTTTGTCTCATTACAACTGGATTAATTTACTGCAAGATATACTCAATCGTACGACACCACACAAATCAGATTCACGCCTTGCAATTGCAACACGTAGCACAGAATCAGAATGGAGAATTGGCAAATGCTGCAAGACTGAAAAAAACTGCACTTGCTACATTTTACGTGTATGTGGTGTTTGTGGTTTGTTTTTTGCCCTACATATGCGTTAAAGCAGCTTATCGAATTTATGGTGAGTCCAAGTTGCGGTTGCATCTGCTTTATTATTCGACGACACTTGTGAATCTTAATTCATCTCTCAATCCTTTAATCTACTGCTGGAAGATGCGAAACATTCGACAAGCTGTGATCAGTGTACTTCGCAATATCTTTCAAGGACAGTAAAACTCCATTCGAACCACTTCGCCGATGAGACTATTACCCTCTGTCCCCCAGAAAAGAAAAGGAAATTTCATATTACTAACATGAATTTTACTGAACTAACAGATGAATAAAGAATAATGATTTAGAGGTAACACATTCACGTAGCGGTTCTTCGTCAACCATTCCTAGTCGAGTTGGAATTTAGAAATGAGTACTCCGAGAAAAACCTCTCGGGGCAAAGGAAAGAACAACGTCAAACTCAAACCACATTTGGCGTCGACGGCCGGATTTGAACCTGGGCCACACTGGTGGAAGGCAAGCGCTCTCACCTCTGCTTCACCCTTGCTACCTAGTCGTATTAGTCGCTGAATGATCGATCTAGTGCGGTTCACAAACACCCGTCAGAACATTTTCGGGGCCCTTGTTCGATCCTGGTCTTAGCAATCATGGCGTCCGCGCACCAACAAAAACTGGTATAGTTAGAAGATTTTCAGTCCTTTGGTTGACATCAACCAGCGCAGATCAAATCATAAAGCGACCTGAAGAAAGCTAAAAGCAACAAAAGTAGACGGCATTGGCGCGTATATCTTCAGTGAACTGTGACATTAAGGCTTTCGAGCAACTTCTGAGCCACTTTCATTACACAAAGCAACTTTTGATTGTTTTTTGAGCAACGTTTTGAGAAATTACGGGAAACGTTTTGGAAAATCTCGAGCAACTTGTGGAAAGCCCTATGTATATCTGCCCAGCCTGAAGTAAGCCCTTAGTTTTCTAAGCGTGGTTATTCATCGAATTGCTACGTAGTAATGGGGGGCTGATATTTAATGCTTTAGGAAAATCGTTACTTTTTCACAATTCCTAAGCTAAAAGCGATCCATGTATTCTTCTCTGTCTACACATTGGTTTCCATGTTAACTAGTTAAAAGGAAAAGTTTGTTCTTGTTTATTTACTACGCATTAATTTGTGAGCAATGATAAACTTTCTTTAATATTAATCAGAGGAAACTGGTATTAGTATGACTTAGGCTTTGTTTAGCAGCCTCTGATAAATTAATTATTACGAACTATCGAGTTTTAGTTACTTAATAATATACACGAAAAAATTACCCAATTCTGATTGGCTGAGAAAGGAGTGCAGCTCTTCTGTAACACGAGTGCAAAATGTGTAACACGAGTGCAAACTTGTAACACGAGTGCAAATTACAAATGCTTTCTGATTGGCTGAAAACACAAAAGAAACCAACAAGAACCAATCAGATAAGAGCTGTTTTAACAACACAGATTCAAGAAAATGGCCATGGTTTTCAGCAGACGACGACGGGATTTAATTTTGTAAGCAAAACAACAACAGAAAAGTTAAAAAAAATATTCCAAAAAAACCCGAACACGGTAAAAAGTACGTCTTTCTCGCTAAATGTATTGAAAATGCGTTGCTACGAGAAAAATACTGTCCACAAAATCGAGGAAAATGAGCCAGAGAAACTAAAAAACAAGCTACTCATAACAGACTACGCTAAAGTAAAAAAAATAAAGAGCAAAAACGGTTGCAACCACACGCAAACCATGACAACTACACTCTTCAGGCATTTAAATGAACAAGGATTATTCAATGATAACAACAGGGATTTCAAGTCATGTACGTTATTTGTTGCTCTCTTTGAGTCTTTTGTGGAGCGAAGACCTCTATTAAAACATCCATGTGATGGTCTGTTTTTTTTTCTACCTCAGTAGCAAACGAAACCGAAAATTTAAACTTCTGGTCCAAATTAAACCAATGGGCGAAAATACCACAACTCACATAATGAAAAGTATCCGTAGCTGGTACTAGCCTTAAAGAAAGTGACAAAAAAGTTTACGAATCATTGTGCAAGAAAAACAACAGTCAGCTTAAGGAAGCAAAGATTGTAAGTTCAGAACATATCGTCAGTGTCACAGGCCACCGAGGTATAAATTTCCTTAACGACTACGATGAAGCCGACGAAGAAGAGCTACGATGAATCTTGCAGTAGCCCAAATAAAATAATGAAAACTCCAGCGCTGAGAAAAAGCAAATATTATATTAATACTGACAGTTTCCGACATCACAACAACTGTGGCTCCACTCACCCATCGATGGTAGCATCGAAAGAAAACAAATTGCCTCCTTCATTTTCGGGTTTTAAATCTCAAAAATTTGTCCACGAATCCAGCTATGATGGGGTCTCAGGAACAGACAATGATAAACAGTCGTTAAAAATCCTTAGCAAGTGTCTTTCATCTTTGGCTGCTCGAAGCGTTCTCCTGATTTAAAAACGGCAGTACACTTCTTGAAAACGCTTCTTGTAAACGCCGAGCTCTCATAATCGAGGATGAATTTAAAAACACTTACTTTTGCTGATTGTTGTAAACCAAGTTATCTTTAACAGGCTGGTGATCATATAAAAAAATCCTTGCACATTTCCAAGTTCTTAGCTGAATGATTTTGAAAGCGTTGGTCTTGAAAAAGTTGGAATTTGACAAAGGTAGTAGTCTGTTTCAGCCAATCAGTTGAATGAACTAAAAACGCGCGCGCAGTCAAAATTTGTTGTCGTAGTTATGTTTTTCGTGTATATTATTAATAAGTAATCACATGATTTTTCTCATGCAATTTGGATTAAATAAGCACTTGTAAATTTTTCAAAGACCACAAAGTGCACTCGTCCTACGGGCTCGTGCACTTTTGTTAGTCTTTGAAAAATTTACTCGTGCTTATTTATTCCAAATTGCACTCGAAATCATGTGATTACCTATACAAATAAAGAAAAGCATAGTATATTGCTTTTAACAGGCTTCCAAAAAAATGGAATGATTAGTTTCCAAGTTGATTCTAGTTAAAGGCTTTTATTGCTTTTTTGCAACATGATCACTTATCGATTTGCCACGTCATGATGGGTGGTCTCATAAAGTTGGGACTACAAGGGATATTTTAATTATTTTATTTTATACGACCTATCGCGTTTCGTTTAAAAGAGAAAAATATACAATTACTGTGTGATGATGACGCCACATTTAAATTTTAAATTCCGTGTTCAGACAAGTACAGTATTAATTTCAATTAAGATCAGTTTGTATATTATAAGTAAGAGTTAGGAACTTTTTTTACTATTGTCGCGGAAGACTCAACAGTACTCAGTTAAAAACCAATTGCCATCGGAGGAGGAAGAGAATCTCTGGAGAATATTCGGTAAGTCTCGCAAAGAATTATTTCCATCATCAGTCTCTTCTTGCAGAGTTACTCAAAAGTTCTACACAGCTGCTAAAACTTAAGACTGTATAAAACGTTTCACTTAATGACGGAAGCTAAAGGTCAGTCTCATTCGAAAACGGATGATTCCTCCAAAGCAATGAAGTTCCTTTGCATTGTTATACTTGAAACTGAACACTGATCAGGGTCCTTTGCAAAAGATGGCAAGTGCTAATGGCGTGCATTTGACACTTGTTGTTAATTGCGTCTTCAACGCTTTCTTTTGTTTAACCACCATCGTGTTAAACATCATAACAATACAAGCGCTCAGAAAAACGTCTTCGTTGCCTAAGACTTTAATAACATTGCTTCTAAGCCTGGCTGTGTCTGATCTGGGTGTAGGCTTACTAGTCCAACCACTGTACGTTGCAATTCTTGTGATGAACATGGAAGAGAACTCTAACATTACTGCTTATTATTCAGTGTACAAAGCGTATTTAATCCAGAAAAAAGTATTGGTTTTGGCTTCGCATCTTGGCGTTTTTGCATTAACTTTTGAGTTTAACTGCGTATTTACGATTCACTTCAAACCAGCTGCCGTTTCTATAGAGAATAATACATGGTCGCGCGGAGATATCGAATTTATCTTCGAGTGTTCACATGCGTTTGCTGGTACCGTCGGAGTCGCGCCATTCCGTTCACCAAAAATATTTGTTAATGACTGTGTGTCACTGGGAATGGTGTATTTAAAACTATTAAAAGGACAAAAAACATTGTAGTTAATTTTTTTTTGTGACTTCTGTTTTAACAAACACAGCTCTTAAAGGTCACTCAAATCAAGTCAACTTTATTCAGGCAGAGCAGCCCTATCAGCCATTGGCCGGTATCAAAAAGGGGCCCCCCGTACAGTCGTCGTGGAGGATTATATCGGGTTTTTATTGTCGGCGGGTCTAAACTTTTTGCCATAGATTTTTGCAAAAAATACTACATAATAAATAAATGAATAAATAAATAAATAACAAAAAACCTCGCCCAAAATAAAAAATAAAATAAAAGAATCTATGTTTCCACGATTCCTAAAAACACCTGTTTGGGCTCAATAAATTTTGATTGGACTTGATATCAATATATTTGCATAATGATGCCTTTAATAAGTGTCTTTGTCCCAATTAGTTTGCAACAGTTCTTGTCAGTCACTTTTTAGCCAGAATACTAATATAAATAGGTTCTTTCTATTCTTTATATCATTATCACTTTTTTCTGGCATTTATCATGTCCTCAAAGATACCAATTGCGTCAGCATGCCTTACCTGTAAGCTTATTAATTGTTAAGCTCGATCTATCATTCTTATCAAAAGAAAATTTATTCAAATTTGAATGTGTTATTATGTGGCTACATTAACTTGTTTGAATTTTTTTGTTAAGGGAATTCTTGGTGTTCAGACGTCTTGATATTTAACACTGTCTAGTTAGTGGAAAATTTCAAGATTACCAAAGTACTGAAGAGGACAAGTTAGGTCGTTCAGCCATGCGATAATTTAAGGAAGAATGTGAACCACATTCTGAACTATTGGAGACCGATCAGGTAACTTACCAAAGGCAGGAGCGCCTGCCTGTCAAAAGACGTCAACAGTCCTTTAAAGGAACAGTCTATACAATGGCAGAAGAAGCTAAAGACGCGTTTTGAACATCCCACAGAATGACAGAAATTAGAGCCTTTTATTGAACCCTCGTCGCCAACTGCTTCTTCAACGCCTTCTTGCTTTTCACAGCCATAGTTTTGAACATCATAACAATACAAGCCCTAAGAAAAATATCATCGTTTCCAAAGCTTTTAAAAACATTGCTCCTGAGTCTCGCTGTTTCTGATCTTGGTGTTGGTTTGCTTGTCCATCCTCTCTATACTGCACGTCTTATAATAAACATAGAAGAGAACACTAACAATAGAATTTATATTATGGTATCCAAAGCATACTTTATTTCTGGTCATTTACTGTGTGCTGCTTCATTCTTTGGCATTATTGCTTTAACTGTCGACAGATTCTTAGCTATTCATCTTCATCTCAGATACCAGGAACTTGTGACTCACAGGCGTGTCGATACGGTAGTAATTTCAGTCTGGGTGTGGTCTTCATGTTTTTCCTTATTTGTGTTGAACAGGGTTTTAGAAAACGTTCTGGCCATTATAAATGCAACTATTGGGGCAGTTTGTCTCACTACAACGGGATTAATTTACTGCAAGATATATTCGATCGTACGTCACCACACAAATCAGATTCACGCCCTGCAATTGCAACCCGTAGGACAGAATCAGAATGGAGAATTGACAAATGCTGCAGGACTGAAAAAAACTGCACTTGCTACATTTTACGTGTATGTGGTATTTGTGGTTTGTTTTTTGCCCTTCATGTGCGTTAACGCAGCTTATCAAATTTATGGTGAGTCCAAGTTGTGGTTGCATCTTTTTTATTATTCGAGGACACTTGTGTTTCTTAATTCATCTCTCAATCCTTTGGTCTACTGCTAGAAGATGCGAAACATTCGACAAGCTGTGATCAGTGTACTTCGCAATATCTTTCAAGGTCAGTAAAGCTCCATTCGAACCGCTTCGCCGATGAGACTATTAGTTACCCTTTGTGCCCCACAAAAAAAATGGAAATTTCATATAACTAACATGAATTTTTATTAACTAACAGATGAATAGTGAATAATGATTTAGAGGTAGCACATTCTCGTAGTGGTTCTTCGTTTACCATTCCTAGTCGAGTTGGAATTTAGAAATGAGTACTCCGAGAAAAACCTCTCGGGGCAAAGGAAAGAACAACGTCAAACTCAAACCACATTTGGCGTCGACTGAGGGATTTGAACCTGGACCACGATGTTGGAAGGCGAGTGCTCTCACTACTGCTTCACCCTTGCTCCCCAATCGTATTAGCCTCTGCATGATCGATCTAGTGCGGTTCACAAACACCCGTCAGAACATTTCCGGGGCCCATTCGATCGTGGTCTTAGCAATCATGACGTCCACGCACCAACAAAAACTGGTATAGTTAGAAGATTTTCAGTCCTCTGGTTGACATCAACCATCACAGATCAAATCATAAAGCGACCTGAACAAAGCTAAAAGCAACAGAAGTAGACGGCATTGGCGCGTATATCTTCAGTTAAGAAACTGCGTGAAGTGTGCCATTAAGGCTTTCGAGCAACTTCTGAGCAACTTTCATTACAAAAAGCAACTTGAGATTGTTTTTTGAGCAACGTTTTGAGAAATTACGGGAAACGTTTTGGAAAATCTCGAGCAACTTGTGGAAAGCCCTATGTATATCTGCGCAGCCTGAAGTAAGCCCTTACTTTTCTAAGCGTGATTATTCATCGAATTGCTATGTAGTATCGGCGCGCTGATATTTAACGCCTTAGTTAACTTTAGTTTCATAGACTTGGGAGATAAGAGGGTGAACACAAAAAAGCACTGGTAACTTGGTACTAAATAAATTACCCTGTTAGCAGAGTCGCTTTGATCTTTCCTAGATCGAAGGATACTCTGTTCGCAGGGTATCAATAAATAGGCATCATACATATCCGCAAAATGGCGGGGAAATTGCCAAGGGTCTTCAGGCTGAAAAGTATGGAGGGAGGGGTAAGAGCGAGTTCAAACTGATAAAGGATCATAATAACCTACTATGCGTAACAGGAACACAGCGTTAACAACAAATAAATAAACAAAAAATTAAGGAAAATCGTTACTTTTTCACGATTCTTAAGCTAAAAGAGATCCATGTATTCTTCTCTGCCTACGTATTGGTTTTCTATGTTAACTAGTTAAAAGGAAAAGTTTGTTCTTGCTTATTTTACTACGCATTAATTTGTGAGCAATGATAAACGTTCTTTAGTATTAAACTGAAGAAACTGGTATTAGTATGACTTAGGCTTTGTTTAGCTGTATCGAGTTTTACATGTAGTTACTAAATTAATAAAAGCATAGTATGTTGCTTTTAACAGGCTTTTAATAAAATGGAATCATTAGTTTCCAAGTTGATTGTAGTTAAAGGTTTTTATTGCTTTTTTGCAACATGATCACTTGTCGAATTGCCACGTCGTGATGGCTGGTCTCATGAAGTTGGGACTACAAGGGATATTTTAAACATTCTGATCATTTGCAACTTATTAAGGTTTGACGCATATGACAGCATGATTTGTTAAGCAACAAGAACGCTCTTAAAAGCAGCAACTGTCGCTTGCTTGGAGATTAGATAAGAAATGAGGAGGCCATTAATTCTACACGAAGTAGGATTTCTTCGCTAAAAGTTTTTCCTTCCCACTTTATCGACGGTCGAGTATTCTTCAGAATATTTACTTCTTACATCGTATTCGACGATGATTGGGTACGGTTGTACAAGTACAAATCATTGCCAGAAAGTAAAAACGTGATGAATATGGCGCCTCATTTCAATCATCGCCGAAAATAAACCGCATGCTCATCAAAAGACTCCATTTTCATACAATGAAGGTTTTCGACACCCGACCAGTTTATAGCCGCGCCATCAAAGTTTTCACTGAAGTATTCACTTGTTCCAAAGTTATCAACGCTTTCAAGCGATCCGATAGAATTTGTGGACCGCCCTGTTCCGGAAAAGCTCGACAACTCTGGGTCAATCTTTCCTAAGCTTTCTTCACAAAATAGAACATGGTGCTGTGACACGTAGCAATTCTTATCCAAGTTTCCACGATCTCCGCTAGTAACGCCTGGGACCATGATTCCCTTTTTGGTGCGCACACTAGCGAGACTAACTACCGTGCCGGTCTATGTTTTAAAAGCTTAGCTAGTAAATTTTTTTTATGGGGAACAAGTTCTTTCTTTCAACTCAAAAGACTCGTCGTAAGTCGTAGTTACTCAAAACATTTGCGTATGTTTCGCTTGAGTCCAGCTAACATGTAGGATTGGTCTCAGTCCTAATAGTCCACATTTCCTCTAAACCATTGCTAAACTCTTTTCTGTTTGACTTTGTGTTTACGATTCACCGCAAACCAGCTGCCATTTCTACTTTGATGAGTTCCTCAAAAGTTCTACACAGCTGCTAAAACTTAAGACTGTATAAAACGTTTCATTTAATGGCGGAAGCTGAAGGCCAGTCTCATTCGAAAACGGATGAATCCTCCAAAGCAATGAAGTTCCTCTCTCAGATTTTACTTAAACTTAACGAACATCGATCGTAGCACTTATTGGAGGAAAAACAGGAGGAAAAAGCCCCTGTAAACGATTTTGGAAGAAAAGTTCCCAGTGTCGAGAAATACAGCTGCAAGTAAAGTAGCTAATGGCGTCGTCATTTTGTTGCTATGTTAACTCCGATGTCATTGTAATCTTGATCATAACAAATTTTCAACTTTCAACACTTACAAAGCCCCGCCATTCGCTTTTCGTTTAAAATGAAAATAAATCCAGATTTTGGTGTAATGATGTTGTCATATTCAAATTCTTTTTATTTCAAATAGGTGGATATTTCGGATGTTCTGAGTATGGGATACTGGGAACTTCCCGCGATTGTAAACTTTATTGACTTGCAAAATTTCAGTCTCATCCATAAAAGAAAACCCTCGCAGAGCTCTTCAAAAGTTATACAGCTACACGTAGGCAGGCAACATGCGTTGGCTGGTACCGTCGGAGTCGCGCCATTCCGTTCACCAAAAATATTTGTTAATGACTGTGTGTCAGGAATGGTGTATTTAACTATTAAAAGAACAAAAAACATTGTAGTTAATTTTTTTTGTGACTTCTGAGCAACGGAGGAGACGATGTTTTAACGAACACAGCTCTTAAGTCAGTCAAATCAAGTCAACTTTATTCAGGCAGGGTAGTCCTATCAGCTATTGACCGGTATCAAAAAGGGGCCCCCCGTACAGTCGTCGTGGAGGACTATATCGGGTTTTTATTGTCGGCGGGTCTAAGCTTTTTGCCATAGATTTTTGCAGAAAATACTACATAATAAATGAATAAATAAATAAATAAATAAATAAATAAATAACAAAAAACCTCACCCAAAATAAAAAAAATAAAATAAAAGAATCTATGTTTCCGCGAACACCTGTTTGGGCTCAATATATTTTGATTGGACTTGATGTCAATATATTTGCATAATGATTCCTTTAATAAGTTTCTTTGTCCCAATTAGTTTGGAACAGTTCTTGTCAGCCACTTTTTAGCCAGAATACTAAATAGGTTCTTTCTATTCATTGTATTATTATGACCTTTTTTCTTGCATTTATCATATCCTCAAAAACACCAATTGCGTGAGAATGCGTTACCTTAAGCTTATTAATTGTTAAGCTCGATCTATCATTCTTATCAAAAGAAAATTTTATTCAAATTTGAATGTGTTATTATGTGGCTACATTAACTTGTTTGAAATTTTTTGTTCAGGGAATTCTTGGTGTTCAGACGTCTTGATATTCAACATTGTCTAGTTAGTGGACAATTTCAAGATTACCAAAGTACAGAAGAGGACAAGCTAGGTCGCTTAGCCATGCGATAATTTAAGGAAGAATGTGAACCACATTCTGAACTATTGGAGACCGATCAGGTAACTTACCAAAGGCAGGAGCGTCTGCCTGTCAAAAGACGTCAACAGTCCTTTAAAGGAACAGTCTATACAATAGCAGAAGAAGCTAAAGACGCGTTTTCAACATCCTACAGAATGGCAGAAACTGGAGACTTTTATTCAACGCTCGTCGCCAACTGCTTCTTCAACGTTTTCTTGCTTTTCACAGCCTTGGTTTTAAACATCATAACAATACAAGCCCTAAGAAAAATATCATCGTTTCCAAAGCCTTTAAAAACATTACTCCTAAGTCTCGCTGTTTCTGATCTTGGGGTTGGTTTGCTTGTCCATCCTCTCTATATTACACGTCTTATAATAAACATAGAACAGAGCGCTAACCAAAGACTCCATTATACGGTATACACAGCGCAGGGTCTTTTTGGCTTTTTACTGTGTGCTGCTTCATTCTTGAGCATCATTGCTTTAACTGTCGACAGATTCTTAGCTATTCATCTTCACCTCAGATACCAGGAACTTGTGACTCACAAGCGTGTTGTTACGGTAGTAATTTTAGTCTGGGTGTGCTGTTCATGTTTTTCCTTATTTGTGTTGAACAGGGTTTTAGAAAACGTTCTGGCCATTATAAATGCAACTATTGGGGCAGTTTGTCTCACTACGACGGGATTAATTTACTGCAAGATATACTCCATTGTACGTCACCACACAAATCAGATTCACGCCCTGCAATTGCAACCCGTAGGACAGAATCAGAATGGAGAATTGGCAAATGCTGCAAGACTGAAAAAAACTGCACTTGCTACATTTTACGTGTATGTGGTGTTTGTGGTTTGTTTTTTGCCCTTCATATGCGTTGACGCAGCTTATCAAATTTATGGTAAGTCCGAGTTGCGGTTGCATCTGCTTTATTATTCGAGGACACTTGTGTATCTTAATTCATCTCTCAATCCTTTGGTCTACTGCTGGAAGATGCGAAACATTCGAAAAGCTGTGATCAGTGTACTTCGCAATATCTTTCAAGGTCAGTAAAGCTCCATTCGAACCGCTGCGCCGATGAGACTATTACCCTTTGTCTCCCAGAAAAAAACAGATGAATAATGATTTAGAGTTAGTACATTCACGTAGCGGTTCTTCGTCTACCATTCCTAGTCGGGTGGGAATTTAGAAATGAGTACTCCGAGAAAAACCTCTCGGGGCAAAGGAAAGAACAACGTCAAACTCAAACCACATTTGGCTTCGACGGCCGGATTTGAACCTGGGCCACACTAGTGGCAGGCGAGTGCTCTCACCACTGCTTCTCCAGTAGTCTACTATGTTGAAAATTATCCCCGTTGGTGCCTTCCCCTGCCTTCCGTATGCCTTCCCTTTATTAATATGCATATGGTCGAGTCTATGACGTCACCCATTGTTATAACCAAGGGAAAAAATGCCTTCCTCCATACTAATTAAGTGCCTTCCTCCATATTTAATGAAGTGGATGGTTGTTTCTTGAAAGAACAGAATAGGCTTGCCTAGACTTGCCCAAATCTATTTTTCTCTTCCTTTTGATGAGTACGCGTGACAGACTTAGCTTCGAATGATAAACTTGCCGTTGTTTTCCTGAACCCTCCTCTGACAGTAGAAACCCCATCACAACAAGGCCCGAAGCGCAAAAGGCGTCGGATTCAATTTGTAAATTATTTGGACGATCATAGCATAAAGCTCATGCCAAACAGCTGAGGAAACGTCTGCATAAGAAATTCAAACCTTACAAGTACTCCATGGGCTAAGAAGATGATGATAAATAAATAAAAAATTAAGGAAATTCGTTACTTTTTCTCTATTCTTAAGCTAAAGGAGATCCATGTATTCGTCTCTTGCCATCATATTGGTTTTCCATGTTAACTAGTTAAAAGGAAAAGTTTGTTCTTGTTTATATACTACGCATTAATTTGTGAGCAATGATAAACGTTCTTTAATATTAAACTGAAGAAACTGGTATTAGTATGACTTAGGCTTTGTTTAGCAGCCTCTGATGAATTGATTATAACGAACTATCGAGTCTTAATAAAAGCTTAGTATATTGCTTTTAACAGGCTTTCAAAAAAATGGAATTATTAGTTTCCAAGTTGATTGTAGTAGTTAAAGGCTTTTGCTTTTTTGCGACATGATCACTTATCGAATTGCCACGTCATGATGGCTGGTCTCATGAAGTTGGGACTACAAGGGATATTTTAAACATTCTGATCATTTGCAACTTATTAAGGTTTGACGCATATGACAGCATGATTTGTTAAGCAACAAGAACGCTCTTAAAAGCAGCAACTCTAGCTTGCTTGGAGATTAGATAAGAAATGAGGAGGCCATTAATTCTACACGAAGTAGGATTTCTTCGCTGAAAGTTTTTCACTTCCCACTTTATCGAAGGTCGAGTATTCGTCAGAATATTTACTTCTTACATTCATTCGACGATGATTGAGTACGCGTGTACAAATACAAATCATCGTCAGAAAGTAAAAACGTGATGAATATGGCGCGTCATTTCAATCATCTCCAAAAATAAACCGCATGCTCATTACTAGGCTCATTTTCACACAATGAAAGTTTTCAACGCCCGACCAGTTTATAGCCTCAGCATCGAAGTTTTCACTGAAGTATGCACTTGTTCCAAAGTTAACAACGCTTTCAAGCGATTCTATAGAATTCGTGGACCGCCCCGTTCCGGAAAAGCTCGACAACTCTGCATCAATATTTCCTAAGCTTTCTCCACAAAATAGAACATGGTGCTGTGACACGTAGCATTTCTTATCCCCAGTTTCCACGATCTTTGATAGTAACGCCTAGGACCATGATTCCCCTTTTGGCGCGCACACTGGGCGAGACTAACTACCTACTGTGCCGGTCTATGTTTTAAAAGCTTAGCTATAGTAGATATTTTTATGCGGAACAAGTTCCTTCTCTCAGCTCAGAAGACTCGTTGTAAGTAGTAGTTCCAGCAAACATGTAGGATTGGTCTCAGACCTAACATTCCTCATTTCCTCTAAACCATCGATAAACTCTTTTCTGTTTGACTTTGCGTTTACGATTCACCGCAAACCATTTCTACTTTGATATCGCGTCAATAGTTTCGAATAACTTACTTCCATTTGACTGACGAACTTTATCAAACCGGTAAAACTAGCCAACAAAACGAAAAAGCCTGCACTAGCCACTATAGCCAAATGTTGATGCTAATGACAGTTTGATTAATGGTACATCAGGATGTTAAACTTATGTACAGTATACAGCACAAAGGCAATAAAATAAATCCCAAAATTAAAAAGTATCATGATAATTTTTTTCTTTTTAAATTCAGTTAAAGAATAATACAAGAATATTTTCAGCCTGAAATCGGCAGGAAAAATAAGAATATTTAACCTGGGCCGGGAAAACAACATTCTTGTAAAAAAGAAAGGAAAAAGAAACTGGAGCTAAATACGACTTACATCTTATTAGCTACCCTAAAGTTAATAAGGGATAGCGTATTGTTCACTTTGACTACATTTTCATAGTTTCCAAGTTGATTGTTATTGTATTCGATTGCAGTTTGAGGCATAATATTGCTTTTTGCAACATGGTTGCCCATGAGATTGCCATGTCATGTATAAACAGGTATTCTGATCATTTGCAATTGAATAAACTTTGCCACTTATTAAGGAACTAGGGTGCTGTGTCTCAAACCGCCTCACACTCTTTGGGTCGCATGTGACCATGTAGTTTATCAAAAATATGTACAGGTCCGTTGCCGGATTGCTTTGCGACGTAAAAGTCCGTTTTTCCCTCAAGTTTTCTTGTGTTTCACCACCATCGTGTTAAACATCATAACAATACAAGCGCTCAGAAAAACGTCGTCGTTGCCTAAGACTTAAAAAAAAAATTGCTTATAAGCCTGGCTGTATCTGATCTGGGTGTGGGCTTACTAGTCCAACTACTGTACGTTGAAATTCTTGTGATGAAAATAGAAGACAACTCTAACAACACTAGTACTGCTTATAATTCAGTATACAAAGCGTATTTAATACAGAAAAAAAGCATTGGTCTTGGCTTCGCATCTTGGCGCCGAGTTTTTGCATTAACTTTTGACAGATTCTTGGTTATTCAGCTTCATCTCAGATACCAGGAACTTGTAACTCACAAGCGTGTTGGTGCTGCAGTGATCTCAGTCTGGGTGTTTAGTGCATCAATTTCCTTCCTACGTCAGTTGTATGATTCTCTTATTATGGGAGCTGTCATTTTAGTTGTTTGTGTCACAATTACAGGATTGCTTTATTGCAAGATATACGCAGCGGTACGACATCACTGAAATCAAATGTGCGCCCTGCAAGTACAGCAAGAATTACAGAATGGAGAAAAGGCCGCAAATGCAGAAAGGCTAAGAAAATCTGCACTGACTACATTCTACGTTTATGTGGTGTATTTAGTTTGCTATTTGCCAATATCTTGTGTTTTATTTGCCAAGACCAATGGTGAAACTGTCTTGTTATCTCACTTATGGTATTTCACATTGACTCTTGTGTTTCTCAATTCCTCTCTCAATCCCTTGATCTACTGTTGGAAGATGAGACACATTCGACAAACTGTTATGGACATACTTCGAAATGTCATTGCGATTGGTCCGCACTAAAGAAAGGATCTGCTCAGGATAATTAGCCTTTTACTCTCTGGTAAAAATAAAAGCTTTCAAGCAATACAGTTGGAAAAAAGACACTAAATATGAACGGGACCTGAAACCTTTGAAAGGCAAAGGGATAAATATATTATATATGGTCGAGTATAGGTTCATAAGATTCCGGTTTGCTTTGGAATAACTAATTACAATTAATACGGAAACTCTGAAATATTATTTATCAAAGTCAGAAAGAGGGTAAAAAAAGCTAAGTGGTTTAGGATGAATGACGAGTGACTTGATAAATAGAGGGCCTAGTTTCCAAATTTTCATGGGCAAAAAGTTCTGTGTAAGGTAAAGTGTCTTAAAAGTTTACTAGATTTTGTTAACCATAGTGTATGCAATGAAGAAAACTAACTAAAGAGGAGAGAGATCAAAACTATATTGAATAAATCTTCCGCACTGAATGTACCAAGAGTGGGGAAAAGATTTACCGATACAACAGCAATAACAACAACACAATAACAATAAGAATAATAATAACTATTATCATAATAAAAATAATAATAAGAATAATACTAATAAGAGCTGAATAACGATAAGAAGAACAACACAGCCTATTTGTTGAGAAAGACGAAGACTAATTAATTCATATCAATAAAGTTCACGTGAAAAAGTTAAAATGTTTTGAAGACTGGTAAAAATATACCTTTCAAACAGGGTTTTTTAAATTTGTCGAGTCCAATAATTGCTAATAAGATCACTACATTTGAAACTGAGTTTCAGACTGGGATCTGAGAAAGAGCTCTCGTGAGAGCGCAGCCGATTGGAACAAATGATCGATTGCTAAATGACATCATAATAATTTAAAATACCATAATAGAACCAGATCAGAAAGCAGATATAATATAGCTCCAATATCAAGCAAAGAGCTTCTTGCTCTGAGATTAAAAACTTAGAACCATAATATTTGACGAAACAATTAATTATTAAGGCCCAGGGTTGAACCGAAGTACACAGTTTCCTCATGTCCCAGTTGAAAGTCTTGCAAGCAACTCTCGGTACGTGGGTGAGAGTAATTTACAACAACGTTGAAACTTTGTACGAGACCATACTTAATGTTTTCATAGCCATTTAGAAAGAGCGAGTCCAAAAAAGTAATTATTGAAACCAATGATGTATAACAGAGCAACAGCATTAACAACGTGAAAATGAAAAAAAAAAATGACAAAATCGTGTATTTTCCACTATTCTTAAACTAAAATGTGTTTTCTCCTACACATTGTTTTCCTGTTCGGTGGTTACGAGCGCTCTTTCATAATCATAAAAGTTCCCCCACAATTTCTGTTTTTAGGGAGGGAGGGAAGAAACACAGATAGTTATTTTCTGACGCTTAAACCGAAGAGTATATTCTTTTCTTGTCTACGCATTCTTTTTCCTGTTTGAAGCTGATTAGGAGCGGTCGTCCATAATCATGACAGTTCTTCAACAATCTCTGGGGGAAACGGTATCCTCTTGTTTTTCTATTACCCATTCAATTGCGAGCAATATTGAACTTTCATTATAATATTAAACTGAAGCCGAAACTGAAGTTAATATGACTTAAGTTTTGGTAGCTGCCTCGGATGAGTTAAATCAACACGAACTATTAGGTTAATAAGGCGTAACAACAACAACAACCAGTGTACTCCACAGGAAAAAGTTTACAAATAATAAATTAAAGTAAACTGAAAAGGAAATATTTCACACAACCAGCAGTTAGCTTAAGCTAATCGAGGCAGGAAGTGTTTTCGATACATCTTCAATGCAATGAAATTTGAAACATAATTTCGAAGTCGATTGTAGTTTAGACTACAAGGGATATTTTAAACATGCTGATCATTTGTTTTTAACTGATTAAACTTTCACATAAAGAACTGGATGATTTATCAAGTAACTACCTACTGTGTCTGTTTTTTTTTTTAAGGGTAATAAGTCTTTTCTCTCACCCTCCGACCCGTCTTAGATAAGTACATGTGCATATTTTTTGCTTGGGTAAAGTAAAAAAGTTCGATTATTCTCCAAACTAATGGTCCGCATTTCCTCTAAACCATTGCTAAACTCTTTCTGTTTGACTGTGTATTTACGATTCACTGCAAACCAGATGCCGTTTCTACTTTAATATTGCGTCAGTAGCTTCAAATAACTTCCTACCATTTGACTGACAAACTTCAACTCTTACAAAGCTCGACCTATCGCGTTTCGGTTAAAAAGAAAATGAACTCAAATTTCTGTGGCAGAACTAGTCAATAAAAAATATCATGATAATATTTTTTAAAATATAATTATTTAGGAATAAGATAAGAATATTTTCAGCATAAAGTAATAATAATAAAAAAAATATTCAGCCTCGGCCAGGAAAACAACATTCCTGTAAAAAAGAAAGAGGGTGTATCAAACTGAAGAAACTGGAGCTAAATGACTCTTATTAGCTGCCTTAAAGTTAATAAAGGATAGTGTATGGTTTTTGAATCGTTTTCATAGTTTCCAAGTTGATTGAAATTTAAGGCACAGTTTGCTTTTTACAACATGATTACTCATCGAACTGTGCTGTCATGATACGTAAATATTCCGATCATTTGCGATTAAACTTTGACACATATTAAGGACCGGATGATCTATTATAAGTACCCTTACCAAACCATATGTATTTTGAAACTGATTTTAAAGTATTTAAAATGTATTTTCAGTATTTGAACACTATTTTCCTGTATTTTAATACTATTTGACAAAAAAATTTAAATTTTCGCCCCTGTTTGAAATATATCTTGAGTGTAGTTAAATTGTATTTCATGTAAAGGAAAACCTCTCTCATCAATTTACAATGTATTTTGTTTAATAAATATGATTAAAATAGAGTATTTAAAATGTATTTTGGGCATAGAACCACTAACACTGTTACAAACAGAGTTCAAATAGACTATTTGAAATATGTTTTAAGGGCTTTTATGCTGACTGTAATTAAGATACTTTTAAATAGGGTACTTTAACTCTGTTTTGAGTTGTATCTAAAATGTATTTTGAGACGCATCCACTCACAAAGTTACAAACATAGTTCAAATAGACTATTTGAAATATGTTTTAAGAGCCTAAATGCTGACCGTATTTTAAATCCTTTTAAATAGGGTACTTTAACACTGTTTTGAGTTGTATCTAAAATGTATTTTGAGACGCATCCACTGACAAAGTTACAAACAGAGTTCAAATAGACTATTTGAAATATGTTTTAAAACCTTAAGAACTGACCGCATTTTAAATACTTTTAAATAGGGTACTTAAACACTGTTTTGAGGTCTATTTGAATTGTATTTTGGGCACACAGCACTCTGACTATAAAAACAGATTATCCATAAACTATTTGAAGTCTGCTTAAAGTCATCAAATGCTTACCTTATTGTAAATACTTTAAAGTAGTGTACTTATAACTTATTATTACTAGGGTGCAATACTGTAATGTCTTTTGGGAGACTTATACTCAGACTATAAATAAAAGTAACAATTGCACAAAGTTAATTTTTAAGCCTTCATCGTGTCACGAACTCATAAATGACTCAAAACAAGCTGTCACATATTGTGGACCGGATTCTCCTCCCAACAAAGTTCGAAGCTGAGCGAAAAATTAAATCTAAATTAAATAAAAAAAGAGAAGAAAATTAGGAATAGGTTTTAGCTTTGACTGACAACACGTAACTGTGACAGTGTTCCGATAAAAGATCTATCCGTTCCTCACTGTTCATTACCTGCAAGCTCTCTGCGAAAATCTCCGCGTAGATTTTAGCCGTGATTCAATTAATGCAGTTACGGGACTTTCCATAAGTTTTTTAAAAGAAACTTCTTAAAATCGCATTTTAATTTCATATAGAAATTTTTTCACAAACAGCCGAAGCCGCGGGCCGAGAACCGGATGCACGCGGTCAACAGAGGTTTATCTAAAATAAGCCCTTGAAATTACATAATAAATAAATTATCCAAGCTAAGATCTCACCTCATATATATTGCATCAAGAAACAAAGCTCAGATATGAATAAACTCCGACATATGGTTATCTTTCTCTCATAGATTATTCCGCACATGCATGGCATATTATTTCTAAGATGTCACGCGCGACTGAAATCACGACTTCGCGCCGCGGTGATGTGACAAATGCACGTGATAAACAAACCGTCCTTTGTCCTTTGCTCATTTCAAATTATTGTACCGGCGGTTGCTGTGATGGCGGGTGCGCTTGATTTTACTGTTTGTTACGATCTTACAAAAGTATACATTTCAACTCTGCGGATTGTCTGAACACGTAGATGTTGCATTTATCACGGATCAAAAATGGGTATGACTCCTCAGCGACTGTTATGTACTTTGAAAGGATCTGGTTCAGTTTCTCTCCGAAGCACGCGGTCTTGTGCTGTCTTGTGTGTTAATCCAAGAGTCTTCTGTTATGTGAGTATTATACACAATATATGCATAACATGTTACTAAGACGCTTAAGTATACGCCATATGAGAAACAAATGAAGGGTAGTAAACATTTATATACTCCCGCCTGTACGGCAATTTTAGTTTTTACAGGGTTCCATGCTCAGCCTCGCTGTTCTCAGTCACTTGATGTCACGTCACCGACCTCTTTCATGCTCGTGTAAATTTGATGGTGTTATTCTTATGTTGTTCTTTATCAGCCAATAATTAAACGTTCAGGCGTAGCCTGCAAGCTTCTGATAATAATTGAGTAAAGCCGTGAATATAATAAAAAATGTAAGTTACATGTATGTAGATTATTATTTACCGGTAACGTAACGCAATACTCTTTTGAAGCGGAAGATTGATAGCCTGTGTACCGACCCCCTTCCCCTCCGATTTTTATTGAGGGGAGGGGGTTTGTACACAGGCTAAAGATTGATTTCAGCATTTCTGAAAAATTCCATAAGAATTTCCCGAGAATTCGTAGGGAAATCAACGTAAAGTAATCGGCTAAGAGATAATTCCGGTGAAATCCTAGCGTAGGACTGTGTGGAGAAATTTCGCAGAAGTAAATCTTGCTTTTTCAGAGTAATTTTCGACGGTTTTGTATTCATTTTATTTCATGAATTTAAATGGTATTTTCATCCTGTTTTTGTACTGTTTTTATGCTCTTTCGACCGATTTTTGTACTGTTTTCAGACAACTCTAAGGCTATTTTCTTACAATTTTATACTGTTTTTGCATTTTTGCATCCTATTTTTGATGTATTTTCACAATATACGCGTGCTATTGCTTTTCTTCCTCTGTGGTATTTTAATACTATTTTCAAAGTATTTTTATTGTATTTGCAAATACGATTATTTTACTAAATTTCGAAACCCATTAAAAAGCTATTAAAATATATTTTGAAGCATAACATTTTAATAGCGTTTTAAACAGGTTAAAACACCTTTAAAATCAGTCGAAAAATATATTAAAAATATATTTTTGGACCTATTTTAAACCTGTTTTTTTCAAAATACGTTTAAAATTGCCATTAAAAATAGTTTTAAAATAGTATAGCAAATTAAAATATGTTTCTGAAACTGTTTTTATCCTGTTTTTATTCCGATTTATAAGATATTTAAAAACTATTTTAGACCTGTTTTGAGCCTTGCAAAAGCCCTGGAATTTTTTATATATTTTAAACGAATTTAAAAATACATTAAAACTTCTTTTTTAATAGCGTTTTAAACAGGTTAAAACACCTTTAAAAGCAGTCGAAAAATACATTAAAAATACACTTTCCACCCTATTTAAAACCTATTTCACAAAACAGGTTAAAAACAGTTTTCAAAAATAGCTTAAAAATACATTCAAAACAGTGTTAACCATCTGCCGTTTCTACTTTAATATTGCGTCAGCAGTTTCAAATAACTTTCTACCATTTGACTGACAAACTTCAACTCTTACAAAGCTCGACTTATCGCGTTTCGGTTAAAAAGAAGATGAACTCAAATTTCTGTGGCAAAACTAGTCAATAAAAAAATATCATGATAAATTCTTTCTTTTCTGAATATAATTATTAGGAATAATACAAGAATATTTTCAGCCTAAAACAGGCAGAAAAAAAAAACATATTCAGCCTGCGCAAGAAAAACAATAACCGTATAAAAAGAAAAGAGGGTGTATCAAACGGAAGAAACTGGAGCTAATGAGACTTGTATTGTTTTTGAATACATTTTCATAGTTTCCAAGTTGATTGAAGTTTAAGGCACATTTTGCTTTTTGCAACTCGATTATATTACTCATCGAACTGTCACGTCATGATACGTAAATATTCCGATCATTTGCGATTAAACTTTGACACATATTAAGGACCGGATGATCTATTAAGTAACTAGGCTACTGTGTCTTTGTTTTAAGCGCGCCATAAGTTTTTGTTATGGTTTAAGAGTTTTTTTTTTCTCTTCATCTTCCTCACACTCTTTGGGTCGCACCTGACCATGTAGTTTATCAATGAAAAAATGTGTGCATGAGTCCATGAAATACATTGGATTGGTTTGCGACTTAAAAGCCTGGTTTCCGTTTCTCCTCAAGCATCGCTAACTCTTACTGTTTAACTGTGTATTTTGCGATTCATAGCAAAGCAACTGCCGTTTCCATTTTAATAATGCGTCAGTAGTTCCAAACAACTTTCTTCCATTTGATTGACGAACAAAGCTCTACCTATCACATTTCAGTCAAAAAGCAATGAAGTTCCTTTGCATTGTTATACTTGAAACTGAACACTGATCAGGGTCCTTTGCAAAAGATGGCAATTGCTAAAGGTGTGCATTTGACACTTGTTAACTGCGTCTTCGACGTTCCTCAAAAGTTCTACACAGCTGCTAAAACTTAAGATTGTATAAAACGTTCCATTCAATGGCGGAAGCTGAAGGTCAGTCTCATTCGAAAACGGATCACGCTGGGAAAAAAAGTGGTAAAAATCGGCCAAAAGATTGAGTGGGGGCGTGATAGGCACAAAACATTTTTGGAGTTCTTGGGGCTATAACTTTCTTTCCTTTAAGGGCATGACACTGAAATTAATACAGGCAACAATACTTCACTCCAGGAAAATTTTGGAATAGGCGTTTTGTTGGTAGAGAGTCACGTGACCCTCTAGTGGCCAATTAAAAAATCAAAACTCCCAAAGACTTCTCCTCCAAGAGAATTAAACCTGAAAGTGTGATACTTTGCACAAATATAGTGCACATAAAATTAAAGAACTTGTCCGATTTGGAATCTCAAATTTCATTTTTGTGACGTCACAACTGATGACGTCACAAAATAGACTTTTTGGTCATGCGCAGTACTAACCCAAAAAATGTAGAATTTGAAAGAAAAACTTAAGACAAATAGAAAGTGAAAGTCTCAACTCATTATCTTCTATAGTTTAAGAGATATTTGTGACATTCCACGCATATTTTTAAACAAACTTTGGACACATTTTGTGGCCGATTTTTAGCACTTTTTTTCCCAGCGTGGATGATTCCTCCAAAGCAATGAAGTTCCTCTCACAGATTTTACTTAAACTTAACGGACATCGATCGTAGCACTTATTGGAGGAAAAACAGGAGGAAAAAAGTCCCAGTAAACGATTTTGGAAGAAAAGTTCCCAGTGTCGAGAAATACAGCTGCAAATAAAGTAGCTAATGGCGTCATTTTGTTGCTATGACAACTCCGATGTCATTGTAATCCTGATCATAAAAAATTTTCAACTTTCAACACTTAAAAAGCTCGGCCATTCGTGTTTCGTTTAAAATGAAAATAAATTCAGATTTTGGTGTAATGATGTTGTCATATTCAAATTCTTTTTATTTCAAATAAGTGGATATTTCGGATGTTCTGAGTATGGGATACTGAGAACTTCTTGCGATTGTAAAGTTTATTGACTCACGAATTTCAGTCTCATCCATAAAAGAAAACACTCGCAGAGCTCTTCAAAAGTTATACAGCTACAGACTGCAGCGTACCTGTACACGTAGGCAGGCAACATGCGTTGCATGGCTGGTACCGTCAGAGTCGCGCCATTCCGCTCACCAAAAATATTTGTTAATGACTGTGTGTCAGCAATGGTGTATTTAACTATTAAAAGGACAAAAAACATTGTAGTTAATTTATTTTGTGTCATCTGAGCAACGGAGGAGACGATGTTTTAACAAACACAGCTCTTAAAGGTCACTCAAATCAAGTCGACTTTATTCAGGCGGGGGTGCCCTATCAGCCATTAGCCGATATCAAAAAGGGGCCCCACGTAGAGTCGTCGTGGAGGATTATATCGGGTTTTTATTGTCGGCGGGTCCAAGCTTTTTGCCATAGATTTTTGCAAAAAATACTACATAATAAATGAATAAATAAATAACAAAAAACCTCGCCCAAAATAAAAAAATAAAATAAAATAATCTATGTTTCCGCGATTCCTAAAAACACCTGTTTGGGCTCAATAAATTTTGATTGGAGTTGATGTCAATATATTTACATAATGATGCCTTTAACAAATGTCTTTGACCCAATTAGTTTGCAACAGTTCTTGTCAGCCACTTTTTAGCCAGAATACTGAATAGGTTCTTTCGATTCTTTATATCATTATCACTTTTTTTCCGGCATTTATCATATCCTCAAAAACACCAATTGCGTCAGTATGCGTTACCTTAAGCTTATTAATTGTTAAGCTCGATCTATCATTCTTATCAGAAGAAAGGTTTATTCAAATTTGAATGTGTTATTGTGTGGCTGCATTAACTTGTTTGAAATTTTTTGTTAAGGGAAGTCTTGGTGTTCAGACGTCTTGATATTTAACACTGTCTAGTTAGTGGACAATTTCAAGATTACCAAAGTACGGAAGAGGACAAGCTAGGTCGCTCAGCCATGCGATAATTTTAAGGAAGAATGTGAACCACATTCTGAACTATTGGAGACCGAGAACGTCTGCCTGTCAAAAGACGTCAACAGTTCTTTAAAGGAGCAGTCTATACAATGGCAGAAGAAGCTAAAGACGCGTTTTCAACATCCTACAGAATAGCAAGAACTGGAGACTTTTATTCAACGCTTGTCGCCAACTGCTTCTTCAACGTTTTCTTGCTTTTCACAGCCTTGGTTTTAAACATCATAACGATACAAGCCCTAAGAAAAATATCATCGTTTCCAAAGCCTTTAAAAACATTGCTCCTGAGTCTCGCTGTTTCTGATCTTGGTGTTGGTTTGCTTGTCCATCCTCTCTATATTGTGCATCTCGTAATGACCATAGAACAGGACAGTAACAATAGAATTTTTATTATGGTATACAAAGCATACCTTAGTTCTGGTCGTTTACTGTGTACTGCTTCATTCCTGAGCATTACTGCTTTAACTGTCGACAGATTCTTAGCTATTCATCTTCATCTCAGATACCAGGAACTTGTGACTCACAGGCGTGTTGTTACTGTAGTAATTTCAGTCTGGGTGATGTGTTCATGTTTTTCCTTATTTGTGTTGAACAGGGCTTTAGAAAACGTTGTGGCCATTATAACTACAACTATTGGGGGAGTTTGTCTCACTACGACGGGATTAATTTACTGCAAGATATACTCCATTGTATGTCACCACACAAATCAGATGCACGCCCTGCAATTGCAACCCGTAGGACAGAATCAGAATGGAGAATTGGCAAATGCTGCAAGACTGAAAAAAACTGCACTTGCTACATTTTACGTGTATGTGGTGTTTGTGGTTTGTTTTTTGCCCTTCATATGCGTTCTAGCAGCTTATCGAATTTATGGTAAGTCCGAGTTGCGGTTGCATCTGCTTTATTATTCGTGGACACTTATGTATCTTAATTCATCTCTCAATCCTTTGGTCTACTGCTGGAAGATGCGAAACATTCGACAAGCTGTGATCAGTGTACTTTGCAATATCTTTCAAGGTCAGTAAAGCTCCATTCGAACCGTTTCGCCGATGAGACTATTAAATACCCTTTGTGCCCCACAAAAAAATGGAAATTTCATATTACTAACATGAATTTCAACTAACAGATGAATAATGAATAATGATTTAGAGGTAGCACATTCATGAGTGGTTCTTCGTCAACCATTCCTAGTCGAGTTGGAATTTAGAAATGAGTACTCCGAGAAAAACCTCTCGGGGCAAAGGAAAGAACAACGTCAAACTCAAACCACATTTGGCGTCGACGGCCGGATTTGAACCTGGGCCACACTAGTGGCAGGCGAGTGCTCTCACCACTGCTTCACCCTGGCTACCTAGTCGTATTAGTCGCTGAATGATCGATCTAGTGCGGTTCACAAACACCCGTCAGAACATTTCCGGGGCTCTTGTTCGATCCTGGTCTTAGCAATCATGACGCCCACGCACCAACAAAAACTGGTATAGTTAGAAGATTTTCAGTCCTCTGGTTGACATTAACCAGCACAGATCAAATCATAAAGCGACCTGAACAAAGCTAAAAGCAACAAGAATAAACGGCATTGGCGGGTACATCTTCAGTTAAGAAACTGCTTGAACTGTGACATTAAGGCTTTCGAGCAACTTCTGAGCAACTTTCATTACAAAAAGCAACTTTTGATTGTTTTTTGAGCAACGTTTTGAGAAATTACGGGAAACGTTTTTGAAAATCTCGAGCAACTTGTGGAAAGCCCTATGTATATCTGCCCAGCCTGAAGTGAGCTAAGCGTGATTATTCATCGAATTGCTATGTAGTAATGGCGGGCTGATATTTAATGCCTTAGTTAACTTTAGTTTCATAAACTTGGGAGATAAGACGGTTAACACACAAAAGCACTGGTAACTTGGTACTAAATATATAGGCATCATACACATCCGCAAAAAGGCGGGGAAATTGCAAAGGGTCCTCAGGCTGAAAAGTATGAAGGGAGGGGTAACAGCGAGTTCAAACTGATAAAGGATCATAATAACCTACTATGCGTAACAGAACAACAGCGTTAACAACAAAGAAATAAATAAAAAATTAAGGAAAATCGCAAACCAGCTGCCATTTCTACTTTGATATCACGTCAATAGTTTCGAATAACTTACTTCCATTTGACTGACGAACTTTATCCAACTGGTAAAACTAGCCAACAAAACGAAAAAATCTGCACTAGCCACTATAGCCAAATGTTGATGCTAATGACAGTTTGATGAATGGTACATCATGATGTTAAACCTTTTTACAGATCATTGCTTCTAAGCCAGGCTGTGTCTGATCTGGGTGAGGGCTTACTTGTCCAACCACTGTATGTTGCAATTCTTGTGATGAACGTAGAAGAGAACTCTTATAACACAGCTTATTATATAGTATACAAAGCGTACTATTTAATCCAGAAAAAAGTACTGGTCTTGGCTTCGTATCTTGACGTTTTTGCATTAACTTTTGACAGATTCTTGGCGATTGATCTTCATCTCATATACCAAGGACTTGTAACTCGTTGTTGTTGCTGTTGTGATCTCAGTCTTGGTGTTTAGTGCATCAATTTCCATCCTACGTGAGTTGTATGATTCTCTTGTTATCGGAGCAGTCATTTTAGTTGTTTGTGTCATAATTACAGGATTGCTTAATTGCAAGTATACGCAGCCGTACGACACCACAGAAATCAAATGCGCGCTCTGCAAGTACAGCAAGAATTACAGAATGGAGAAAAGGCTGCAAATGCAGAAATAGCCTGCAGTGCAGGCGTATTTTGGGTGGGCGAAACCAGAAGCCCATAATCCTGGCGAAACCTTGTTCCGGTCCGTAATATTGTTGTAGCCGCCATCTTTGATTTTGACTCGACCCATCTCCTCCTCTCTTCCGGAAGTTTCAACATCGCGCTTTCGCGAGCAAATTGCGCGCTCAAAGAAGACGCCTGCACTGCAGGCCAGTGTAGAAAGGCTGAGAAAATCTTCACTGACTACATTCTAAATTTATGTGGTGTATTTAGTTTGCTATTTGCCAATAGCTTGTGTTGTTTTTGCTAAGACCAATGGTGAAAATGTCTTGTTATCTCATTCACGGTATTTCACATTGACTCTTATGTATCTTAATTCCTCTCTCAATCCCTTGATCTACTGTTGGAAGATGAGACACATTCGACAAACTGTTATGAACATACTTCGAAATGTCATTGCGATTGGTCCGCACTAAAGAAAGGATGTACTCAGAATAATTTGGCCTTTTACTCTCTGGTAAAAATAAAAGCTTTCAAGCAATACAGTTGGAAAAAAATGACACTAAATATAAACGGGATTTGAAACCTTTGAAAGGCAAAGGGATAAATATTAATACATATATATGATCGAGTATAAGGTTCATGAGATTTCGGTTTCCTTGGGAATAACTATAATTACAAATAATACGGACACTATGAAATATTATTTATCAAAGTCAGAAAGAGGGTAAAAAAAGCTAAGTGGTTAAGGATGAATGACGAGTGACTTGATAAATAGAGGGCCGAGTTTTCAAATTTTCACGGGTAAAAAGTTCTGTGTACAGTAAAGTGTCTTGAAAAGTTTACTAGATTTTGTTGACCATAGTGCATGCAATGAAGAAAACTAACTAAAGAGGAGAGAGATCAAAACTATATTCAATAAATCTTCCGCACTGAATGTACCAAGAGTGGGGAAAAGATTTACCGATACAACAACAATAACAACAACACAATAACAATAAGAAAAATAATGAACGATTATCCCGTCGGTAGAAATTTGCAGGAATCCAGGCGGGGGGCTGTAGGAATCCTACAAGAATAAGCCAATCAAATTTCCGTCCTGTTAATACGTAATCATTAGGTACGACAGTTCACGTTTCACGTGGGAGCTGTGTTGCGACTGTTGCGTGCTTGGCATTACTCTTTTAGTATAACTATTATCATAATAAAAGTAATAATAAGAATAATACTTATAAGAACTGAATAATGATAAGAAGAACAACACAGCCTATTTGTTGAGAAAGACGAAGACTAATAGTTTATACTGTTGAGAATATATATTACAATATAATATTGTAATATATATTAAAATACTTGTAATTAATTTAAATCAATAAAGTTCACGTGAAAAAGTTACAATGGTTTGAAGACTCGTAAAAATATACCTTTTAATCAGGGTTTTTTAATTTGTCAAGTCCAAAGATTACTAATAAGTAAGATCATTACATTTGAAAGTTTCAGACTGGGATCTGAGAAAGAGCCCTCCTGACAGCGCAACCGATTGGAACAAATGATCGATGGCTAAATGACATCATAATACTTTAAAATACCATAATAGAACCAGAAAGCAGATATAATATCGCTCCAATGTCATGCGAAGAGCTTCTTGCTCTGAGAAAAAACTTAGCACCATAATGTTTGACGAAATAATTAAGCATTAAGGCCCAGGGTTGAACCGAAGTACACAGTTTCCTCATGTTCTAGTTGAACGTCTTGCAAGCAACTATCGGTACGTGCGTGAGAGTAATTTACAACAACGTTGAAACTTTGTACGAGACCCTACTTAATGTTACCATAGCCATTTAGAAAGAGCGAGTCCAAAAAGTAATTATTGTCACCAATGATGTATAACAGAGCAACAGCATTAACAACGTGAAAATAAAAAAAATAAATGACAAAATCGTATTTTTTCCACTATTCTTAAACTAGAAGGTGTTTCTCCTACACGTTGTTTTTCCTGTTCGGTGGTTACGAGCGCTCTTTCATAATCATGAAAGTTCTCCCACAATTTCTGTTTCAAGGGAGGGAAGAAAAGTAAGCTTTTGTCATTTAGCAACTTTTAACCGCACAGAAAAAACACAGTACATGCACACTTCATACACATTGAATTTTTTTTTAGCCCACAATGTAAACTTCTGGGTCCACGAGTAAATTTTCAAGCCCAACCTCGTTCCCAGAGGTCTCTCCTACCCGTCAACGGGTAGGAGAGAGAACTTGGGGACGAGGTTGGTGCGAGATAATAAAGACAATAAAGTCTAACGATTTTACTACCTACACTTAGCAAAAGCTATTTGAGTCTGGCAGTGTGGGGAGGCTAATTACTGTTACATCAGTTTTATCCAAAAAAACCATTTTACCACTTCCTTACGAATACGTGTTTAAGAAGACATTTTACAAGGATATAAGCGAGTTTTTTTGTTTAATTGGTGCGCATTAAATTTTGCGCGATGATATTGTTTTCGATACATTTTCAATAAAATGAAATTGAGAAATGGTTGATTCACGGTCGTTTGAGGCATATATTGCTTTTTGCAACACGATTACTCATCGAATTGTCATGTCGTGTTGGCTGGTTTCATAAAGTTGAGGCTGCAATGGATATTTTAAACATTGTGATCATTTGCTACTGATTAGACTATGACACACAAGAGAGCATGATTTGTTTAAGCAACTACCTACAGTGTCTTTGTTTAACACCCTAGCTAGTAAGTTTTTTTAATGGATAATAAGCTTCTTATCTCAACTCCTCCCTTTGACTCGTCGTAGATCGTTGTTTATCAAAAGGTCTTTTGCTTGGGTCCAGTCATGTGTCCAGTAAATACATTGGATTGGTCTCCGACCTGATAGTCAGTTTTTCCTATAAACCATCGTTAAACTCGCTCTTTTTGTATGACTGTGTATTAGCGATTCATTGCAACCAGCTACTGCTGATACTTTGATATTGCGTCAGTAGTTTCAGTTTCTTCCTTTTTGACCTGCAAACACTTAGTACAAAGCTCGACCTATCGCGTTTCGGTTTAAATGAAAATATACTCAAATTACTTAGTGATGAGGACGTCATATTTAAATTCTGAATTACGGGCTCTGTTAAGACATAGTTTTAATTCCAAAGAAGTGAATATTTCGGATGCTATGAGTACAACTTTATGTTTCAATGGAGGGAGAAAGTATCGTCTTGTTTATTAAATGCGCATTAAATTGCGAGCAATAATAAACTTTTTTTATATTAAACTAAAAAAAACTGGAGATAATATGATTCACGTTTTGATAGCTGCCTCGGATGAATTTAATACCACCATCCATTAAGTTATTTAAGTTAATAAAGCATAGCATATTGTTCTTGAATACTTTTTTCATAAAATGAAATTGAAACATACTTTCCGAATTGATTGTAGTTTAAGGTATATAGTGCTTTTTTGGAACATGATTACTTGTGGTGTTTGGTGGGTTTCATTAAGCTGAGACTACAGTGGATGTTTTAAACGATCTGATAGGTTGCAACTGATAAAGTCTGACACATATGACCGAATGATACCCACTGTATCTTAGTTTTAAAACCCTAGCTAGTAAGTTTTTTTTTATAGGTAATGTTTTTTTTCTGAACCCCTAGTCCTAAGACTAAAATTTAATTAACATTTGTGCGTTTTTCATAGTTTTTACTTGAGTTCAGCAAACACATTGGATTGGTGTCCGACCTCATAGTCTGCTTTTCCTCTAAACTATCACTAAACTCTATCTGTTTAGTAATAATAATAATAGAGTCTTTATTCATCAAAAGATAAAAATACAGATCTTTTGTTACAAGAAAGTGAAAGAAATTTTAAAAAGGTAAAAAGTAAGAGTTAAAAGAAAAAATCTAGTATATTACATAGCTTATTCATATTTAAAAACTAAACGATTTAAAAAGAGTTTTTAAAACGCATAGTGTTAATCTTAGGTTTAAAACAAGTTTCTTTCCTAAGATTGTAACTGGACGGTTTAACAAGAGGCATAATAGATAAAAGTGGATTTCCTTTAGTATTAGATACTTTTCGGAACATTTTACGGTCTTGCCTCTCTAAGAAATCATAAACACGGGTTTAGACGTATATTTCCTTTTAAAACAGCGGTAACATTGTACAGGTGTAAGATCGGACTCCGACGCGGCGCAGACAGATAATGCCGTAATTAATATTAGGTAGAACTATTGTATTAAAGAGAAGGTCTATTACTGACTGATTGTACCACTCTTTGGACAGCGTTCTAAGGATATGTAGGGAATTGTTAGCTTTAATAAGTTTGTTCTTCACGTGCACTGAAATTTGCTGTCACATTGAAAGGTGACGCCCAAAATCTCAACTTGTTTACCACTTGGTATCATCCCAATAGGTGAATAGAGTTGCGGTTGCCTCTTTTTTTGATCGTCAACTCTTTACATTTTGCAAGACATTCCATTCGTATTCGTCCAATCTAAAAACTTTGACACTAACTGATCGGAGTAGTGTACCTCCT